TTTTTTTAATTTAAATTTTATTTCAACTTTCACATTTAAATCAAACAAGTATATACAAAAGTATGTTCACAAATATATCTTCCTTCAAGTATCTATTATAGATAGCGTATACAAGTATCTATTATAGATAGCGTATACAAGTATTAAATTTACTTAAGGACATCCACATACATAAATTCACATTTAATTAAACACATGTGAAAGTTGTTTTTATATATAGGATAGAAAAAGGAGGAGAAGAGGAAAGAGAGAGGGAGCGAGAAAAGAACATTAAAAAGAGAAAATCAAAAACAAAAAATACATAGGGGGCATAGTGTTGTTTTTTTTTCTTTACATTAAGGGGGGTGTAAAGATTAAGATTTGTTTCTTGAAAAGATTCATAAATACATATGTAAATGTAGACTTGTACAAATGAATCATATCATATCACAGATGCTCTGCCAGTTATTCTCATACTCTGTATATTTACATTGTTTCAAAAGTAAAAATTTCTCAATCAAGAATCTTTCCTCAATAATTGTTTTTAAAGTCATTATACTTAGAACAGAAGGATTTTTATATTTAGTCAAAAAAATATAATTCTTAATTATCAGTGTCATCAAATTTTGCACTTAATGGGCATCCTTATTCTTATGTTTGCCAAATAATATTGTTGTTCTGTCAAAAATTAAAGATATATTAAACTTACACAAAACCCACTCTTCAATATCACTCCAAAGCTCTTTTACTAAATTACATTCAACAAAAAGATGTTCAATTGACTCAATGTCAGTCTTACAGAAACTGCATGCTGGAGATTCTTTTATCTTAAGTTTAAAAAGATATAAATTTGTTGGAACTATTCTATGTAAAATTTGAAATTGTAGCCACTGCAGTTTAGATTCTTTGGTAATTTTAAATGGGAGTTCAAAAATTTTACTCCATTCTTGCATGGTGAATAGATATCCCTTTTCATTCCATTTTAAAATGGAAGTACTTGTTTCTTTCTTTCTATTAATAAGAATGTCATATATATCTTTACAGCCTTTCATATTAATGTAAAACATCTTCACAGAACTGGGTAAATTTGGACCATAAGAAAGAAATATATTCATTTGGTTTTTGCTAACAAATCTGTCACACACACAGCCTGTTTAAAACCAGAAAATTCAATAAAATTTGTTTTTACACCAAGGTCTTTAAAAGCATCTAAACTTAAGAAATTATTATCTAAGTTGAACAGGTCACTTATGAAAACAAAACCAGCATCAAAGTAGCTTTTAAGAAAGACAGAAGACCCACCCATGGTTATTTTTGGATTATACCATATGTGTTCTTGGAATATATTTTTATTTTTCTCTTGCTCTGCATAGCATATTTTGAGCCAGCTTTTAAGGACATCTACCCAAAAAGTGTTTGTTATTTTTTTACATAATTTAGCAGTAAAGTCTGTACCCATTAACCAAAGATTTTTAATATCTCTGTTTATTTGTGATTGAAATAATTTTACCCACTTAGTATCAGAGTGAATTAATCGTCTTATCCAACTTGATTTTAATGCTATTATAAACTCTGAATAATCAACCATTCTAAGGCCACCATCCCTGTAGTCTTGAATTATAGTATTTCTTTTTATTTTATGGACTTTACTTCCCCAAAGAAAGAAATAAATTTCATCCTCAAAAGCTTTTATAATTTCTAATGGTGGATTAGGTAAAGTAAGAATCAAGTGATTTAATTTAGGGATAATCAATGTCTTAATTACAGTTAACCTACCAATGGGGGTTAATTTTCTTAGTTTCCACTGATTCAATACCTTTTTAATTTCACTTAACTTTGATGTATAATTAAGATTAATCATGTCTTTTAAATTTACAGAAAACTTAATCCCTAAAAGATCAAAAGTTGTGCTTTTCCAGTCTAACTTCCACCTAGAATGATGATATACATCTTTTGAAAATTTTTTACTACCAATCCATATCATTTTCGTTTTTTGAATATTTATTTTAAGCCCTGATAAGTTTGCAAAGTAGTCTAATTCTCTGAGAATTCCATCCATAGATTCAGGCGATCCATCAGAAATAAGTGATGTGTCGTCTGCATACTGAGAAATCTTATACTCTTCTCCATCTATTGTTATACCTTTTATATCTTCATTTTTGCGAATTAAAATACCCAAAATTTCAGCACACAATAGGAAGAGGTATGGAGATATAGGATCCCCCTGTCTACATCCCCTTTCTGGATATATATAATTAGAAATAAACCCATTCTGTATGACACAGGACTTAATATTGCTATAAAAAGTCTTTATCCAACTTTTAATTGATTTTCCAAAATTGAAAAAATCAAGTGTTTCATAAATAAAATTCCACGAGATAGTATCAAAAGCCTTTTCAAAGTCTATAAGCATTAAAAGTCCTGGTATTTGATTGCATTCTGTATAATCCATTATGTCATAAATCAATCTAATATTTTCTCCAATATATCTTCCTTTTAAAAATCCAGTTTGATCTGTATGTATTAATTTCTTTAAAACTTTTTTTATTCGTTCGGCTATACACCCAGATGCTAATTTATAAATAACATTTAAAAGGCTAATGGGGCGCCAATTTTTTAAAAATTCTTTTGGTTTTCCTGCTTTTGGTATACAAGTAATTATTCCTAGTCTATTTACATCTGAAAATTGCATTGATTCATTTGCATTATTTATTGCCCTTGTCACAAATATACCAATATCTTTCCAAAAGAACTTAAAAAACTCGCACGTAAATCCATCTGGTCCTGGACTTTTATCATTTTTCATGTTTTTCAAAAAATATAAAACTTCATCTTTAGTTATTGGTCCCTCTAAACTTGCTGATTCCCTCTCACTTAGTCTTGGTATATCATAATCTTTTAGTCTATTGTAAATGCTATCATCTGTTTTAACATTTTCTCTTTTTTTGTATAAATTTTCATAAAATATCTTTGTTTCATTTAAAATGTCCTCTTGATTGGATATCGTACACCCATCTTCTTTAATAATTTTAGGAATTTGTTTACTGATATAATTTCTAGACTCTAAACTTGCAAAATATTTTGTCGGTTTTTCCCCTTCCTCAATCCATTTAACTCGAGATCTAATGCACTGGCCTTTCATTTTATTTATTCTAATTTTTTCAATTTCTTTTTGTTTGTTTGATAGATTATCTACAGTATTTTCTGTTATGTTCTGTTCCAGGTCTAATATCTCTTTTTCTAACTGAACTTCACGCTCTTTTATTTTCTTTTTCTTGAAAGAAGAATATGATATTGTTTTCCCCCTAATTTCCATTAGCAGAGTATCCAGAAATAATTTATCACATATTGTAAATAGTAAATTTTCATCATTCACAGTACTTAAGTTTTCCATGTTATAAACTGGACATGCATACTGGCTTTTGACCTCAATTATCTTTTGCTTAATTAATTCCACATAGTCTTTATCTGTTAACAGAGAATTGTTTAATTTCCAGAAACCTTTTCCTTTTGTGAACTCATTTAGTTTACAATATGCAACGACTGGAGAATGGTCAGAGCGATAACTGTTTTCATGTTTTATATTAGGTATCATGGGCAATAAAGATTCAGACATGAGGAAGAAGTCAAGTCTTGCCTGTTTAATTGGATTTTTCCGTCTCCATGTGAATTGTCTAAGTTTGGGATTATTTTCTCGAAAAACATCTATCAGATTCAGAGTATCTTTTAAATTTAACACTTCTTCTCTTGCATTTGGGTTATTTATGTTTTTATAATTCATAGAGTCCAACTCTTTATTTAAGATCAAATTAAAATCCCCACCCATTATTATATACTGTGAGGAATAAAATTCTTCAATCTTTTTCAAAAGGTTTGAATAAAAAATTGGTGTATCTAAATTTGGACCATAAATATTTACCAATAGAAAATTTAAACCCTCAATAGTCACATCTACAATCAAAAAATTTCCAGTGTCATCTTTACTAGTTTTATGTACTTCAAACTCACAATTGTTATTGAAAAATATTGCAACCCCGCGAGAATTTGACTTAAATGAACTAAAAAAGGCCTTGTATCCCCATTGTGACTGTAAAAAATTTTCTTCACTACTTGTAAAGTGTGTATCTTGAAGAAAATATACATTGTACTTTTTACCTTTGAGGTAATTCAAGACATCTCTTCTTTTGTTTTTATCACACAGGCCCTGGCAGTTTACTGTGAGTATTTTTAACTGGTTATTGTCAACTTGGTCCCCCATAACACGCGTGGTAAATTTGTATTGTCAACCCCCGAAAAATGAAAGCAGCAAGAAAGAAAAGAAGGAAACTGATAGGGTAAAACAAAAATGAAACATATTTACAAACAGCAGGTTTCGTAGCCTCTGATGTGGTCATAACGAAGAGAAAAATTAGCCGAATCGGGCTTATCTGATGTTTATCAACTAAAAATAATTTTGTGCCCCTCGTAACCGGACATTATTACTACAACATAAAAATAAAGTGTGTCCGGATAAACTATACACTCCCGGAAAAAACATACGACAAGCATAAACCTTTTAACCGTAAAAAGACAAACAAACAAAAAATATTAACGATTTTTAAACAGAAAAAAGACGTTGTAGCTTTTAGGAGACAATAGGAATAGGGGAACTAAATTTAAAAACATTTTTTCCTCTTTCTTTTTTAAACAAAAAGATGAATATGATATTTTCTATAGGCCTATCTACTAAATAAATAGAAATATATGTATATTACAATTGAATTTCGAAAAAAAGACAAGAAAAAAAAGGAACCTACATATATTGCATGGTTACAGGCAGTATCAAAACTTAAATATACATGTATATTGTTTTCCGATACAAGAGTTAAACTGGTATAAGATGCATATAAATGTACCTAAGCGATTTCACATACACCTACAGAAAGAAAATGTGTACATGTATAGTACTTATTAAGTTTAAGGAGACATTATCCAAAGATAACAGAAAAAATGGGTGTTAAATAATTCATTTCTTTAGCTGTTCAGAGTTTATTGGCAGCATTGAGCACGGCATCACATATGATATCGAAGCGCCTTGGTCCGATATGATTTCCCGATTTCCTTGAAATAACGAATGCGACGTTGGTGGCACTCTGATCTCCTAAAAGCCGGACCACTCTCCTACCTGCGCCGTATTCTCCATCATCGCAGTATCCATCGCGGATGTTCCCTTGTGCATCTTGTATCCGATATGCTAGGACGTAATGGTGCGCGTTGGCGGAGTTCGGGTCACTCATAACTTTTTTGTAAAACTGTCTGACCTCTGCATACGTACTCGCTTTTGTAGCCACCGCTTTGAAGACATTGCCGCCCTCATAGATAGGATCACTTGTCACCGCCTCTATCTCGTTTAACTTTTCCTCTTCTGCCTCGTCCACAAAGAGTAGATCTTCAGCTCTAGGCGTGGTAACCTTTTCCCGATACACATTTCCATTAGGAAACACAACTTTATTCCCAATTATCTTGGTCTCTATTTTGTTCATTCTGTACTGTGTATTGATCTCCTTAAGCCTCCTTCTACTTTCGTTAATTTGCACTGGTGTTTGAGGTGTAATGTAGCAAGGTAAGGCACTTTTCTCCTTGTTCTCTTTTTCTCCTTTTCCCGCAGAGCTCTTTGGGCTGCAAGAATCCGGTCCTTATCGTTAGAGTCGCGTAGTTTTCCCGTAATGGTTCTGGGTTTATTGCCTGGCATTCTAGGTCCGTTACGATGGATTCTGACAAAACCGATATCCAGTTTTAAATGATCACTTATGATCTGGTGAACTTTTGCATTAAGATCTTCGTTTTCCTCTTCTGTCAGATTATGGATTAGAATGTTATCTCTCATAGATCTTCCTCTCAGGTCTACAATCTCACTTTCTTGTTGTGTCACTTTCCTGTCTAAATTTACAACAATCGACTTCAACAGCTGAAGTTCCTTACGGAGGGTAATATTTTCCTGTTTTAAGGTTTCAATTTCAGACTGGTTGTCTTCATGCTGTTGAGCGATGTATCTAATTCTGTCATCTAG